GATATGTTCTTATAATGCTGTGACATCGGAACACCTTTCATCTAATACTCGCACACAGGGGCGACACAGGAGGGTTACAGATTTACAGATTTACAGATTCACAGATTTACCTTTGCAAGGGCATACAAAATAAATTAGATTTGGCAATCTACTGCTGCGACAAACTCAATTTTGTTCCACTAAACTTACAAAATACTTTGAGGGTGTCGTAGGGGGTGTGTAAAAGCATAGCTTGAGATTAACTCTGGTTGATGGTGCATGTAGGCAGGAGGGCAGCGGTGCAGGGCTTTAAAAGTAGTACAATATATCGGATAAGGGGCCTAACAAGTAAGTGTACATAATAGATAGGTAAGGTAAGGTAAGTATTCATATAAGTATGGTCGGATGGATCTTTACTCCTACTCTCTCTCTCTCTCTCTCTGTCTGTCTCTTTGTCCGACATTCTTTTTGCCAGCTGCTGCTGTCAGAATGCGTTGAATGTTGATCAAGGATCATGGGCTAACTTTGTCGTAGTTTCGTGGTTTCGCTGCCAACCGCTACTGCCGCTTTACGTGCTACGTCCGATTTGCAACCAGGCGAGCAACAACTGCAGGGCCGGCTGTAGCAGCACTAGTTTTCAGATATCTGTATTGATATTAATGCTGGTCAGAAACTCGCCTTGCGAATCGGCCACAGCGCGTATGATCTCCAGCAACAGTTCGCGCGACAAACCCGATATCTTTGGCAGTCTTGCCACCTTGGCAAAATCTTTCACAATCAATTTCAACGCATACTCCTTGATGTCGTAGATCTTCGTTATATCCGACGCTTCCAGCGTCTGCAGCACATTCTCGTACGTAATATTATGCTCCAGCGAGTACTTGCAGAAGGCGTGCAGACGATTGTTGGACAGGCCATAGAAGCACGGTGCCTGGAACAGGTACAGCGCATCCTGTGGCGGCATCTTTGTCTCCCCGTAGTAGATGTAGCGGAGCAGTGAATGAAACGCCTCCAATGAGGGTGAAATCTCACCAATTTGTATCTGCAACAAGAGCGACAATCGGGAGATCAGTTCAGTTCCAATTTCGTACTGGGACGGTACTCACATTGACGGTGTTATCCGGCGGCATGAACGAACGGAACATGCCCTGGAAATAGGTACAGCGTGACGACAACACAGACTTGTGCGCCGGTATCACATGGTCCTCCAATATAAGGCTAATGTCGCAGAAATCATTGCCGGTCGTCTTCAGGAACGTGCACAGATCCAGCTCCAATGTGGTGCCTATCGATATTGGCATTAAAAATAACAACTTAAGCAGATCTTCACCTCTGATCCGTACCTGTGCTCGCTTCGAAACTGGTGTCCATTACCAGCTTGCTGGGATGCAGACGCTTGCGTATGATCTCCACGAGCAGGGGCTTGTCCAGGTCACTGAACTCACTGGACATGACCACCTCGGTGAAGTTCTCCTCCTTGATGATGAACTGCATGCAGTGATCCTTGATTATTTTGATGCTAACAGAAGAGAGAGGTTGGGAATATTTAGAAGGTTTTCCGTTTAACTGTTCGATTTCCACACTCACTTGCTCTTATCCGCATTGTAGAGGGCCTCTAGGACATTGATTTTGTTGATCTTATAGTCCAGATATTGTATGCAGCCGTGGGCCAGCCGCGGCATGGTGAAGAGCCCAGCCAATTGGTAGATGTCGGTGATTAGAATGATTATGTTCTTGTTGTACGGATCCTTGAGGTCGATGCGATCCGTGTAGATGTAGTTGAGAATAATGTCAAAGGCCTCCGGCGAGGCGTGCACCAGGCGCACCTCCAGCATGGGTGCCCGGTCACCGCCAACGCCCGTGTTCAGCGCCTGCGCATCCACCTGGCCAACGCCGTAAACCTTCTCCATCTGCTGCTGGCGTGCCTCGCGTGCGGCCAATATCTTGTTGCGCAAGTACTTGGAGCGTGCCGCCACGAAGGCAATGTGTGCCAGAATGCGCACCTCCTCCACACCCACCACGAACTCAATGTCGCAGAATTGCTTCTCCTGAAAGAACTTGCCAAAGTCGTCGCGCAGCGTGCACTTTGGATAGCTGGAGAACTGGAAGCGGTAGGTGTCGCCGCGCCGCACGCTATTGTCCACGGTCCCGCCGAAGATGTACATGGCATCGCCGATGACGGCCGAGGCGTGAAACACCCGGCCCGAGGGAACGTCCGAGTTCTGTTCCGGCAGCACAGCGGACCAGATCTGCAGGTCCAGGTCGTAGCAGTGCAGATCGTTGGGCAGCGTCGAGTCTGCGGAGCCTCCGAACACGTACAAGAACCGATCGTGGTGCACCATGGTGTGGCCGTAGCGGCGAGGGGGCGGCGCCGAGGTGGCGCCACGCAGCACCGGCTCATTCGAGATGCGACGCCAGGTGCGCGTCTTAAAGTGGAATTCAAACAGCGAATTGGTGATCTGCAGCCCGCTCTGCCCCGAGAACACATACATGGCATCCCGGGCCACGGCCACCGGAAAGTTGCAGCAGGTGGGCGGCCTGTCGCCCTTCTGCTCCACCTCCTCCCACTGATGGTGGTCGTCGGTCAGGTTGAGCGTCCACATATCATTCAGTCGGGCATTGCCGTCGTAGCCCGCATAGATCCACATCTTGTTGTCGTAGACGGCCGCACCGTGGGCAGAGCGCGGCACTGGCTGCCGGCCCGAGAACTTCCACTCCACCCACATGGCGCTCTTGAACTTGTACTCGAACAGATCGTTCTTGTTGGTCAGATTCGAGTTGGAGTGTATGTCGCCCGTGTAGCCGCCAAATATGAACATCGAGGCGCCGGCCACCACCGCCGAGTGATGGTAGCGCGGCGCTGGCGGTGTCCCAGTGGCGCACGCCCTGCCCCACGACTTGTCCTTCACGCCAAAGCGTATGAGGTCGTTCAGCATGTTCTTGCCATTGTCGCCGCCAAACACGAACATGGCATCCTTGTAGGCCACCACCGTGTGCTTGCTGCGCCTGTTAGTGTGTGTAAGAACGAGGGATTATCGATGGGAGGAGACACATCTGATGAAACTACTCACTTGGCGCCCACAAACTCGGCACACTCGAGCATCCGGGTCCATTGGTGCGTGGCCGTGTACGAGGTGAAGTCCACGTTGAGCGCGTTGCAGCTGTAGCTGCCCGGCGAGGCGGCTGTGCCGCTGCCACTGCTGCCATTGCTGGCATTGCTGGCCGCATCGTAGGCCGGGCTGCTGCTGCTGCAGTGGCTCGACTGGACGGCGCGCGTGCTGCGCAGCGAACTGGAGGTGGACATTCTCAGGTTGTTGCGAATGTGCTGGGCGTCCAGACAACCGGCGGTGGAGGCGCTCTTCCTGGCCTTGTGCCGCTTGCTCGACTTTGAGCGCGAAAAGAACGACTCGGAGTGGGGTGCCGCCTGCGACGGTGTCTGGTGCTGCTGCTGCGAGCTGCTGGCCACACAGGCCGGACAGTAGATGTTGACTCCGGCGGGGGTGCTGCCTCCGCTACCGCTGGCACTGCCACTGCCGCTGCCACTGCCACTACCGCTGCCGGTGACCAAGCCACAAACGGCGCTCAGGCCGCTGGATATCGAATTGGAGCCAATGCCACAACTGGCACGGACGCTCCCAACTGTGTTGGCACTTCCACTAGCGCCCGCGCTTCCACTTCCGCTCGCAGTGGCACTCCCACTCCTACCTGTCCCGCTCCCCACTGCAGCTCCTGCTCCTGCTCCTGCGATGACTCCTCCTCCTGCGCCACCACCACCACCGCCGCCACTGGCAGCCGCACCTGCTCCTGCCCCGGCCACGCCAACGCCAACGCCTCCGCTGATGGATTTTAGCATCAAAGCATTACCGGCGTAGAATCGACTTCGCTCGCTTATTTTGAGGTTTTTCTATTTTCCACAGGCTACAGTATCGAAAATTTATGTCTTGGACGCCCTTCTCTTTCGCACATTCATTAACTGGGTCCCACTGCAGTGTAACCGCAGACTTATCAACCGAATATACCGTCTGACACTCGCAAATATACCGCAATATACCAACTATTTGAGGAAATATACCGATATAACACAAATCATGAATGAAGTGAACGAACTAGAACAGGTGAACCAATTTGAGTAAAACAATTTGAAAGCAAGAACTTTTTCATTGATAAACTAATGAACTTTTCTAGATTCACATTTCCTTATACGCGCAATGCAAATATGTATGTAAATATGTAGTTTCGAAACGAAATCATTTCTATGCCGCTCCGGAACCAGTGGACTTCGTTGTCGTGTGAACTGCTGTGATGCCTGCCGCCGCCTCCAAAAGATAAACAAACAAAAGCGCCGCCTGCGCATTTTTTAATTTGTTTATATCAGAGTCTATTTATTTATGGCCAACACTATGGCCAGCGGCTCTCGGACTACCACGCTGCCGCAGTCGAAGGAGGCGCTACTCAAGTCATACAACGCACGCCTCAAGGAGGATGTGCGCAGCATGCTGGAGAACTTTGAGGGTGAGACATAGACTGTCATGAGACGGGCACAGGGCCATGTGATGGTCAATTTCTGAATTGCTTATTTACCGTCTCTCGACGCTCTCTTTCAGAAACCCTCAAGCTGGCGCGCAGAGAGAGCCACAGCCAAATATCGCGTACGACACAATGCGAACAGGATGCCCTCGAAATGCAAATACGAGCCTCCAATATGGGTAAGCAGAGAAGATTTAGCTACGGACTTCACCCCTAATCCTTTGTCACGTTTCTGCAGTGCGTGCGGGTGAGTCGCTGATGAAGCTGGTGGCCGATCTCAAGCAGTATCTCATACTGAACGACTTCCACTCGGTCAACGAGGCCATTACGAACAATTCGCAGCTGTTTCGTGCCACCCAAATCGAGTGCGACAGGAAGCTGATGAAGCTGCGCGACGAAATGGCGATGGATCTGTACGATCTCGAGGAGGAGTACTACACGAGCATATTCAAGTAGATCTCCGCTGTACCATAAGCCATTTAATATCATTTATTTGTTTAATACAACAGTTAACCAAAGCTAAAGCTGCTTGAGACAGACTCTGTCTTGGTTTCTGCTTCGGATGTCTCCGAGGAGGCGCTGTCGTGGAGCGCCTCGCTGGTGCTGTCCACAAGGTCGCCGGTGTAGTAAAGCACAGCCTTGGGCACGATCTGGGTGCGCAGCAGGAAGCCCACCTCAAAGTCATTGGTCAGCAGCGTGTCGGTCTTCTCGTCGACCAGCGACAACTCCAGTGGCTGTGGCGGTGAGAAGAAATTGAAGAAGGATTCGCGTGGCAGTGCATTCGCCTGCAGCGTGAGGTTGCTGCCGGTGCGCCAATGGATATGGCAGCCCTCGCAGCTCACAATCTCGGGGCCCTCGAATGTGAATGGATAGTCCGGGTCGGCCTGGTGCTGCAAAAAGTACTTTTTGGTGAGCAACAGCGAACTGTCGTCCAGGTAGCTGTTGGGCGTAAACAGAAACTGGATGGTGTAGGCAGCCGGCTCGTAGCTGATGCGCAGGTCCGCGAGGCACTCGAGCAGCGGCTCATCGTGGCTTTCCACCATGTTCGACAGCAACAAAACATTCCGGAAGATGCTCAGCCAGAAGCGGGGCACACCCACCGCATTGTACGGCATCTGGGGCATGAACTCGACCAGCTGCTGGAACTCCTTGCTGGCCTTGAGCTCCTCGACCAGTTCGTCAGCCTCCTCGCTCCAGCTGGGCTCCATCGGTGGCGGCTCCACAGACCCCTCAACAATTAAGCGCCGCGAATCGAACAGCTCGACGCAATGCAGATAGTAGCGCTTCTCCAGCTCGAACACCTCCCGATAGAAATGCTCCGAGATCTTTATCTGCTGCATCTGATTGTGCTTCAGGGCCATAATACGATTGTGCACTGGCCCCGGCAGTTGGTCCATCATGTGCTGCAGGCAGGCCTTTCTGCTGCGCCCTGACATCTCCGCCGGTCGCAGCACCGCGTCGAGTAAACCAGCAAACTCTCCCAGTGATTCGCTGCTCTTGGCCGGCCACAGCATCGTGTCGGATGAGCTGCCATCATCGAGCGTGTGGCTGCAATTGTCCGTTTGCTGCTGCTTCCCCACCACTGCTGGATCTCTCTCCATGCTACTTAGAATTTGGAATACAACAAATTTCGAGCTATAATTTATCTATGACTGACAAAAGCAAATCGGACTTTATAGTATTGAGAGTATATTGTCATCAGGCTGAACATTTTTAGTGGCTTTAGATGACTATTTCCTAGACATAACCTCAGCGATAAGGACCCTAGCTTTAAGTACAAATTATTCTCGCTTATATTTGCCTCAATTTTACACCAAAACCAAAATGATTTCTAAACTTCAATAGCAGGAAAGCGGAGTCCATTCGTACTGTTAGCTGATAAAAATCCTAATTCAAAATGTTTCTATATTGATATCAATATTTACGGAAAATATTTCTTTTTTTTTTTTGTGTACATATTGCAAAATTCCAAGGAAATTTGTCCACGATATCTGCACTTCATGTGGCTGCTCAGACATCTTTATGTACAATCTGCGATATTTTGGTTGTTCTTCAGGCAATAATATCCCCAAGGTATTCTCGTATCTAGAGGCCATAAACCACCATTGCGGCAGGTCGGAATCGGAGCAGAGAAATCTCTAGGCATCAGCATAATTGGGTGGGTCTTTTTGCGAACCTGGAAACGCCCCTCGCCACTATCGTGTCTGCTGGCCGCTGGCCACTTGACTCGATCCTATCTGGCATGGACGTGACACACTTGTGACCAACTGAAGGAATAAGCATTTTATAGCGTCGCCGACGATAAGCCAGCCCCCGGACCCGTTATAGCCTGCGGCTAGCCGTAAAATCTGAGGCGCTTTTTGGTAATCTTATCCGTCGACTGTTCATGTGTGCCCAGGGCCAAACCCAGACCCATCCATGATTTGATTCCGCTGACTCTCGCTCGATGGCCAAATGCTAATTTTATTTATAAATATTTTTTGCCTCAAGTTCTCCTTCGCCGTTCCAATTGCTCCCTCACCATGGGGGGTCCAAGTGGTCACGGATTTGGACCCAGATTCTGGCTATATTTTAGATTTACAATCGCTCTTATCATGCTGAGAGTATGTTAGATAATACCTCATACATCGACTGTAGCTGCACCTGATGGCCTTCGCTTGGCTACTGATTTCTGGCTTTGAATGGAATTTGTGTGCAAAAGATTGAAGATTAAAGCGTAAACCGATAATCATTTATTTTGAATTCAGAATTATTCTATATCTGATGTATAACAACAATTAAACACAAGTGCTGCCAAGCGTCAGCATTTTACGCACAAATCACAGATTGAAATCAACAGAGCGGCGCTGCTGCATGTCGCGTTTAAAAGAGAATATGGAAATGGTGAGGATAAACGATCAATCTTAGTACCAATAATTCTATTTATGTTTTAGCCTTTGAATTATTTTGAATAGAAAGTTAACTAATGGCAGCAATAAACCGAATAATCGCAGACAGATTCAGATTTACGAGCGAGTCATTAATTTGGAATTGGCAGATTGCTGTTCCCATTCCCGTTCCCGTTCCACAAAGCTCCAACGGGTGCGATAAGCCCGATAAGGTGCTGCAGGATTGCGCAGGGAGGGGCCTTATCGGAAATCGAAGATAGCTGGGCCTCAGTCCGGGCATTTGTTTAGGTAATCTACGGCTGCGTTTCACAGTCACGTAAAGGCAGCAAAGGCAGCGACACGCGAAACCACTCATCGATCGACAATGCTACTATTGACGGGCATCTGCCTGGCCCTGGGCATAGCGGTGGCCCTGCTCGGGCTGGCCACCAAACTGCTGGGCCTGAAGCCGCCACTTGTCTTCGGCAAGTACCCACTGAAGGGGCTGTTTTATCGCCTCAAGTATGGGATTGCACTGCTGGTGGTGCGACGGCTGCGGTATCGCCTCTACCGCCGGAACGAGGAGGTGCTGGGCTCCGAGGAGCATCTGGCCAAGGTGGACAGGCCGCAGCAGCTGAGCAATGACCCCAAGAGCTACGATGTGGTCAGCTTCATGGCCGCCAATGCCGAGGGCCAGAAGCTGATGGTCACCCTCGAGCGGCGACGACGGGGAGTGATCAAGGCTGCCCTCTATTTGTGGCTACCGTCCGAGGGGCTGCTCAGCTCCCCCCGGCTGCCGGACATGGCGCACTTCACCACCGATGGCAGCGAGGAGAGCAGCGAGTTCCGTGGCGAAGGATTCCACATCTATCCGGAAGAGTCCATGCGTGTTTGGCGCATCAAGTACGACGGTTTGCTCACCAAAAACGAGCAGCAGGTGCCGGTGCAGCTAGATCTGAGGTTCGAGAGCCCCAGCGCGACTCATTTTGACTATAGCCGTGACTTGAGCTCCAACCTGATAGCCGACTCGATAGCCAGGGAGGCGTGGAACGAGCGCTTCTACGGCATGCTCCGTTCCGTGACCCACATCATGGAGAAGCGCACCCACTACGAGCAGAACGGAGAGCTCTCCGGATCGCTGCAGCTGGATGGAAATAAGTTAAAGCTTCAGATGCGAGGATTCCGGGACCACAGCTTCGGCACTGAGCGCTGCCTGAGCTCCATCAACCGATATGTTTACTTTGCCCTCTTCCTGGACGATGGCAGCAGCATGGTCGTGGGCAATCTCAGCCAGCCCTCGTTTTTCCTCTCCTCGCTGAAGGTGGGCTACGTGTGCAGTCCAGCGGGCGTCTACCAGCCCATCAAGAGCAGCAACTTTGAGCTGTACACGTACGGGGAGAAGGGCACACCTCCCCAGCATCAGAACTTTATTGTCTGCACTGAGGAGCGGGAGTATCTCGTCCAGATTCGCGTCGAGGACTCCGCCCTGCGCTATGTGGGCGGCGACTGGGAGTCCAAGGTCTTCAATCAGTTTGTCTCCTGCACTGTCAACGGCATTGCCGGCCAGGGACACGCCGAGTTCCTCTATCGCCACCAGGGCGGCCGGCCCGAGGCGGTCTCCAGTCGGGATCCACCCTGGTACCAGCGCATCAAGCACTTTGAGCGCTGCCTCAGCAACTTGGACCCATCCGCCGACAAGGGGGAGTTCGTCTTCTAAAATAACAATAACAATAATATTTATCCGTGTGATATATGTATGATTTTTTTTTTGTTTTTATTTTTAAGAATCAGTGTATGGGTAGGGTAAAGTAAAATATAATTTAATTTAAATGGGAAAAACATGGGAAATTTTAAAGTCAAGGAACCGCATTTCAAAAATCCTGAAAGCACTTTGCGGGAAACTCCATTTTTCATTGCACAGCACTGAGAATGCTGTCGCTGATGGTGGCTTGGCAGCACTGGAGCGAAGAGGCAGCACAGGAGATGCGCATGTCCGAAAAAAAAACAAAAAAAAACGTAAATCAATAAAAACATAAAATTGAGTGCGCAAGGAGCATGCAGCAGCAGCAGCAGCAGGAACAGGAACCAGACCGAGGCGCAACAACAATAATCCCACGTGAAGACAGAGAGCAGCAGAATCTAAAGCTGCATCAGGAATATCATAATTAGCAGAGAAATAACGGGAAGAAAGCAGAGGAATTGACGAAGAACTAACAGTTTCCTGGTCGACAGTCAACAGCAGAAGCAACGGAAAGTGTAGGAAGAGCAGGAAGAGGAGCAACAAAAACGGAACACACAAAAACACACAGACGCACATACACACACACTAGACACGCAAACGTACACACGAGAGCAGCGCAGAAGAAAAATAAGAAGCAGCAGCTGAAGCAGAGGGATTAACCGTTCACTGGACAGCAGCAGCGACAGAAGCAGAGAAACGCATCCAGCATTATTGTAGTTTAGTGCATCGGCTAAACAGAGCAGAGGCAGCGACAGAGTAAAGAGAGCGAAAGAGTCAAGTAAGTGAGTGAGAGAGAGAGCGCGTAAGTGCAATCAGAGATCACGATGTATAAAACAATACGTCACGGCGAGAACAGCCTTCAATACACGATTCTACCGCAAAACGATGACTTCCGCATAGAGGGTAAACTGTCGGCTGCCTCCTCGTCCTCCTCGTCGTCATCCGCCGCCTCGTCCAAGCGCAGCTCGGCGGCGGGACAGCGACGAAGACGTTCTTTCTTCGCCTACCTGGGCCTGATCTTTGTCTGCACCGTCATCATTGGCGCTGTGCTCATCCCCTTCCTAGTCTCCGCCGAGTGTCTGCCCAATCCCACAGAATGGTTCCTCAAGACCAAGGCGGCCCTCACCCATAGCCGGGCACCCACTGGATCTGGAGTTGGTATTGTAGCTGGCGCTAGAACTGGATCTGGAGATGCCATACCAGGCACACTGCCCACCGGGTCGCCACTGCTCCAGCTGGGTCAGAGCGTGGGCAAAACAGTGCAGATTGTGAACAGGAATGGAATCGAGCAATTTGTGCTAAAGGTCAACAAAACGATCGTCACAGCTCCCACCACAGGATCGGAGGAGCTGCAGCAGGCGCTGCCCCTTAGCAGCAGCACAACAACAACAACAAGCACCAGCACCACCACCACCACCACCACTACAAAGGCACCCACGACCAGCAGTAGCACCAGTACCACAGCTGCAACGACAACCACGACCAGGGAGCAGCCGCCGCCGCCGCCCGTTCCGGTCAGCACTACCGGATATGTTGCAGTAGTCCCACCGCAAGCCCAGCAGCGTCACCTACCGGCCACCACGATCACCACGCGAATCATACAGGTGCCGTTGTTGAAGTCGGCCGCCAAGAAGCCCATTATGCCCCCCGTCTTGGCCAAGACGCAGGGTGCTGTAGAGCAGAAGCAGGGAGCGGAAATGGAGAAGGGCCAGAACAAGAGCAACAGCGACTGGATAAAGACGCACTGGGCCTACATAGATCCCTCGACCTACTTCCAGTGGACCGTACGTATAGCATTTCCTTCGTCCTAGTTTCGTGTGGTGTTTCATCGAAAAATCCTAACATTTACAGGGCTACAAGGCCGAGGATAGCGTGCTGCTGCCCGCCCTCTTGGGATTCGCACTCATTGGCATGATTTTGATCATCACGGTCTGCCTAGTGGCACGCAACAAGCGCACCATCGTGTCCTCGGTGCGCAAGCGGAACCGTAATGTGAGTAGGAAATTGCATTTAATTACCCTTTGGGACGGGTCGGGTCGGGCCGTTTGGGGGTCGCGCTTGTGTAACACCAGTGGTGCACCAACATGGGCCACAATCACAACGAAAATCGTGAATTTTAATGCGCGTAAAAAGTGGAACGGAGTGACTATTGCGTGGCGGAACACAGCAAAACTTTAAGGAACGTCCATCAAAGGGGGGTTATTCCAGGTAAAGATCCGTTCAGACTCATGTCCTACTTGGTGGCTACCACCAGCTAAGATATCGATTGTGCCGACAGTCAGGCTGCCATCCAAAGCCGCCTCCCTACACCATAACAGGAAGCTTCGTGTGGTCCCCACACAGGCAGGACAGACCGGAGCTCCTTTGTAGCTCCTTTTTTTAAACTTCTGTGTGGGCGTCAGATCTTCCTTGCGTACATAGGTTACGGGGTATCACAATTGGCAAACTCCAGATGACCTCGACCTTTGTCGGAGCAGAGCCTGAATAAACAAAAACTAAACATGCGCGGGCAGCAGGCCACTTGCCTCCAGCCCTGGAAAGTGCGCAGCCCTGCTGCCACGGCAACCAGTTCCAAACTCAGGGCTTCAAAGTGGTTAAAAAAGTGTTTTTGTTATCGTGTAAAAATTGAAATGTATGTGAATAATACAATGATTGGGCAACGTTTGTTGTGTGATTCAATTGTGATTAAATATAATAAAAAGACAAGAACCTGGTGCGAAGTTCAGTTCCGGAACTGAACTCAGTATGCAGCCCTCGGCAAACGCGAACTGGAAACTGGAGCATGGCAACAACAAACCAGTTTTCTCTGTGTTGGTGTACATCGTCGTCGTTCCACGTCACACACGGTCGCGCTCACACCAAGCATTAACTTGTGGCGCTTGGGAGAGCGAGAGAGCGCATGACTTTAGCCGGCTGTCGGCGCACCACGTGAGAGCGAGCGAGTGGGCAGGCATGTGAACAAGTGGTAGTGAGAGCAGCGCTGCTGCGCTGCTGTTGTTGGAGAGCAGGCACTGCGTGGCAATTTTGTATGTTGTTGTTGCAGCTGCTGCTGCTGTATAGCGCATTAACGTTTTTTGGCAGGGCTGCACAATCAGCGGAACCAGGGGAAGAATAATCCACCCAACCCGATGGTAAAAAATCATATGCAGGCAGTAGAAGTACAGTGCCAATATTGCAGAAATTGAAAAAGAGAGTGCAGCAAATTAGAAAAATGTTTGAACAGCTGAATCGCGTGTGTGCTTCCAGCCCTGGATTTGGTGAAACGTAGCTGCTTACACACACACCCACATACAGCGGGCTGGCAGCATCGACGTTGACGTTGCCGTTTGCTGTTTGCCGTTGTTGCCGTTGCCGTTGCTGTCCGACAGTCAGTCAGTCACACAGGTGAGAAGCAAAAGTAAAAGGCAGCAGCGCGGCTGGAGCAGAGGAGCAAGCAGTGACAGCGACAGCGACTGCTACGTGTGTTGGTCAGTACCAGAAGTGAGCCTAGCCCGAGTCGAGTCGGAGCTGCAGCAGAAGCGGACACCCCAGCAGCAGCAGCAGCAGCAGTGGCCAGAGCGGAGATAGCCCCCAACGCCTACGTCAGCAAAACGCGAGAAAACACGAGAATCCTGTAAGCATTTCAAACCCAAACTTTTGCCTGCGTGTCTGTGCCTGTGCCTATGTGTGGGTGCGTGTGCTCCACATCTCCCCTCTCACTCGCTCAAGTGTATGCGTGTGTGTGTGTGTTGAATGATAGTGTTGCATGTGTAGCTCTGGGAGCCAGCCCCCGTATTGGTGTGCGAGTGCGAGCCGAGTGCCAACAAGGCAAATTGTGACTTTGCAGCGGAGGGGATAGAGAGATAGAGAAAGAGAGAGAGCGCGCGCGACACACACACATACTGGGAGGAGCACACGACATGGCCAGAACCCAGTTTCCAGCTAACAGCTCCCAGTGAGAATCTCTCATCGCTAACGTGTACAACCCATTGCAGTGACAACCCCCCAAAACTCCCGAATCCAAACTCCACCAGGAAGATGGCCATTAAACCGGGTCTGGGAAGAAAGCCCAGCAACAAGAACCCGCCAATCCTGAGCCACGAGTTCGTGATACAGAACCATGCGGACATCATCTCCTGCGTGGCAATGGTCTTTGTGGTGGGCCTAATGAACGAATCGACTGCCTCCTTCGCCAGCGCCTTCATCTCGCTGCATCACAATGTCAGCGGGGAGGACCCCAGCAGGGAGCAGCCTTATGGCAAGGTCTACACCTATGTGGCCGGCATCAAGGACTACTGCTCGATCTTCTTCTACACCCTAACCTGCATCATTATGCATGCGATCATCCAGGAGTTCGTTCTGGATAAGATCAGCAAGAAGCTGCATCTCTCCAAGTTCAAGCTGGCCCGCTTTAACGAATCCGGCCAGCTGGTGGCCTTCTACCTGCTCTCGTTCGTGTGGGGCGCACATGTCGTTCTGCGCGAAGGATACCTGGGCCAGGTGGCCCAGCTGTGGGAGGGCTTCCCCAGCCATCCAATGAGCTTCCTGCACAAGTTCTACTTCATTATCCAGCTGGCTTACTACCTGCACATGCTGCCGGAGCTATACTTCCAGAAGATCCGCACCAGGGAGGAGCAGCAGCCGAAGATTGTACATTCCATCAGCGGCTTCAGCCTCATCGTGATCGCCTACACCATGAGCTTCCAGCGGCTGGCCCTCGTCCTGCTCACGCTGCACTACTTCAGCGAGCTGCTCTCACATGTCTTCCAGCTGATCGGCGTCTTCGATCGCGAGGAGCGCCTCGCCCGCCTGCGCGTGGTGAACAGCGCCTGCTTCTTCCTGGTGCGCTTCGCCACCTCGGTGATTGGTGTGCTCACCCTCTACTACGGCATCGGGGGCCTGCGCTCCCTGCTGGCCCTCGGCGGTCTGATCGCCCTGCAGGGCTACCTCGTGTTCTCCTTCATCACTGAACAGCTGCGTGCGAAGCGTGAAGCCAAGCGCGAGGCGAAGCGAGAGGCCAAGCTGCTGGCGGCACAGTCCTCCAAGAAGGCCGTCAAGTCACCCAAGGACAAGGTGAAGCGCAAGAAGGAGAGCGACCTGCCCGAGGCGGACCAGCCGACGCCCAGTCCCGTCAAGCAGAAGCTCAAGTGAGAGGGTGACCGGCGGCCAAGCCATCGACGACTCTCAACGCCGAGCAACAAAATCTTCCGCACACTTCCAATCAAATCCGAAAATCAATCTTAACCAATCCAATCCAAACCAGAGAAGTTATAGATAATGAGAGTGAAAGCGAGAGAGCACAACCACTGACAGACCCCAATGTAAATGTAAATGTAAATGTAAATCTCGGCCAAGGTCAAGGCCCCAGGCTCCAGATTATAGCTCCATCTTCTGATGCAAACGTGCAACCTGCAACCTGCTGCCACCAACTACTCTATGCTACCGAGGCACATTTCCGCTGCATTTACCACTTTCTCAGAGCAGGATACAGAACCAGAACTAAAGCCACTTTCCGACATGCGATGAAACAATATTTTTGAAACCTATTTTTTGTAGCCTAAATGTTTTGTTTTCATTTTAAGTTTTATATAATTTTTTTTTTATAATAAATTTTTTTTATTTTTATATAATATACACAAAAAAAAAAGAAGCCCAGCATGTGTGCGTGGTGTGTGTTTTTTGGTTCCCAACTCTCTGTTAAAAGTAATCGTTTGATTCCTACAAAATGATTTCAACAAAACACACAACAATTTCCAATCGTCCTATTTGCATGTAAAACTATTTTTTATAAAACAAAACAAACAAATCAAACAACAACAACAAACCACTTAAAACAAATTAATTCTGAAGAATGTTGAAGTTAAAAGTAAGAACCAGAGCAGTAGACGAAGATTGTAAACGAAGCAGACAAAAAGAAAAAAAAAAACAATTGCTAAATATATGTATAAATATATATATTTTATATAAGAGAAACTGAAGAATGCTCTGACTCATAATTGTGGGATTGGGTGGGGGATATGCATAATCATCTAAGAAGATCTGTAACTAAAAGCCTTCTCTCTCTCTTGTTCTCCTTTTGCAGGACATTGAGGAGCAGGGAGCCGAGGATAATGCCACGCTGCTTGCCACCACCAATCTGTCGGACGATGACTAAGGAATCTCCGAGCATCTTTTGTTTTTGCGCCAGTCTGCTTATCCAACGATCCTTCGCTTGATCCTTTGATATGGATGCACACACGCACTCAGAAATGGGACAAGTGCTTCGGGAGTAATCGGATTCTTACAGCAAGCTCTCTCGCTGAACGCCCAAAGCCCCCCATACATCCCATATGCCGCCCATTCCCAAGCAACTTTCACTGTTATGTTTCTCTCCCAAAAGAAACCAAAAAAAAAAAAAAAGCCGAAGCTGAAGACTGTTTCTTGAAAACTTCAACACACACACAAAAATGAACTGAAAGGTTAATTTTTCCACACAACATTAATTTCTCGAAAACTCGTTTTGAAACTCTTTCCAAAAATTATGCTTAGGTTGTGTCCATGTCTTAACGTGTGCATGAGAGAGTATGAGTGTGCATATGTATAAGCGTGTGTGTGAAAGAGAAAGAGAGAGCTTATTTCCATAATCTATAAAGAAATATACATAAATTTATTTATACGATATACGCGCGGGGATAATGCTCGATTAGAACTCGATGCTCTAAAAAACTGTGACTCAAATATTCCCATTATCAAATGAGCTCTTATCTCCCTCACTCAAATGGAGTGGCACGGTGCAGTGCGGTTCATAACTGTACAAAAAATGGCAGTATTAGATGTGGAGCTATAAATGGGAACCCATTAGGCATTCAAGTTATTCAAGTTCAGTCTCCAGTCCGATGATAGAAAATGCTTGAGTTTCTCATCAACATTGTACCATCTGATTCTATTCGAGCACAAACGATTGGTATGACATGGAATATAATCAGAATGCAAAATGTTAATAACAAGCGAAATTCAAATTGAATTTAATATTTCATTCCCATTTAATGGACGCAAATGCTCTCATACAGTTCGTTCTGGCAGCGCACCACACACCGTAGTTAAGATTTAAATATTAATTGATGGCAAACAAAAAAAAACTATACAAAATAACGTGATGTCCACCAGGCATCTAAAAATGATGATGCTTAGAGGTGTCCGTCGTCTCCCCTTATAATTAGCTTATAATTCGTGTGTACTCTTGAAACCAAAGAATTCAAATCAAATGAAACGTCCAGAAATGAGAAATATTTTCTTCTATTTTTTTTTTTTTTTGTGTCGGTCTAGTCAAGAAGTGGGCCTGGACTGTACTTAATTTATAGCACAAATATTGAACTACGAACAGGTGGAAAAAAAGCTTCTAAATGCATTTACCATTAGCTGAGAGCAGCCGAATCTCCAATGTCCTGAAACGAAGGGATGGATGGATGATTCATGTTTTGGAGCACCGCTTAAAGCCGAGCACCCCAAACAAAAAAAAAAACAAACAACACTTGCTAAATCAAATGCAAAGGAAGAAGATCCAAGTATTAGTAGATGGGAGAGATCGGGACGGATCGGATCGGATCGGAACGGGAGAGTTGAACTATATGTGTATGTGTGTTAACTCTGTATGTGGGTCTATATATATGTATGTATAACTGTGAAGCATTGACAAGTATTTCAGATGATCTGTATTTTTGTAAGCGTAATATTTAGAGCAAAAACAAATCCAATAACAAACAAACAAAAATGACAAAATCCAATGATGCAAACTATATAGCATAAGATTTTTGCGGGGGGCGTGGCATTCGCACACACAATATTGATTTGCTCAACATATTTACATATTTATATATATATACATATACACGAGACACACACCCCCACAAGACACCTCTATACAAAATATATGTATGTAACTGTGTAACGCAAAAGCTTAAGGCTTGCATTTACGTAAGACGATGGTATAGAAGAAGCAGGATATATCCTCCATATGTATGTGTTATCACTTATTTTGCGAAGCTAAACAATTAAGTCCATATACATACATACATAAACACATACTACTATACCTATATACAAACTGCAGCAATCCAATCCAGATCCAACAAGAATACGCATTACTTACAATAAAGACAAACAAACACACACAAAAATGTTGCAAAATGCATCAGAAATCGCCCGTCTACAAAGTGTGGCATTAGATATACTCGTATATACGATTATGAACCTATATAAGTATATATGCATGTATATGTATACACAAAACACACACTATATTGAATGTTTTTGCTTGTTAAAGTGAATAATAATAAAAAGAAAACTAATTACATGGATATTTACACATTTACATATATGTATGTATGTACATATGAACAAGATTTGGAAAGGAATTTCGTTGTGTTTTTACATTTGCATGAAATAGTGGATTATGCTTCAGAAAAATCCATTGAGTAGGTACGAGTGATATTTTAGACTGATTCACAAGTCTGATCTAAATCTTCATAATCCATATGTTTTTATCTACATATTTCCATTATTATAATGTACCAAAAACTATTTACATATCATGACGTGTGCTCAACAAAAGACTGGTTGTAAACGGATAAGTAACAATTCAAATTCTTCTACTTGACTATTTTCTTGTTCCATTTTGAGCATCGAATGTACAGAAAACATAATCTGTTAACATTGCTTTTTGGTTCCGCTGTGATACGATCTATTTTAAATTCGTTTTTTATATTGATAATCCTTTGTTATATGTATGATGGATTATCCCATTGATAAGATCAGCACCAATACAAATCTTGGAGCTTCTAGAGCTACTACTTTGCTGGACAGCTATGCTCATCCTTCTCCGAATACGTTATTGCCAAAATATGAGTGAGGATTCTGCAAGAGGATTCACGTCAATAAACAAAAACTGGAAATACACATATGCACATACCTGGAGGTTTACTCCCATGCGAGTCTCGATACTCAAAATTGGCTACCGCAGTGCTTGCACGATCAATTTCTCAGTCCTTCGGGCCAATCTGAAAGAGACAGCAGGAATAGAGTGAGAGCCACATATTCCTTCTGTCTGTCTCACCTTGTGCAGGAGACACGAGGAAGAGCATCCGCCTCTGTTTAAAGGATGGAGCACGTAGCGTGGGCCCATCATAGCTGCGGACGGATGCCTCCCGTTGTTTTGGCAGAGCCAGCCATGCCCGGCACCAACATGCACATGGCGAGAGCACCAACAGGTTTAGAACAGCCATACTAGGCTCAATGATGGCTGTTTTGGCACTATGCAGAATGTAGCCAACAACAAAACAAAATAGCGCACAAAAAACAAACCAAAACAAGAATACATTGAATAGAGATGCGCGGGCAATCGATTGTGAAGCTGCAACCTCGATACTAACCATCGATATTGTGCGTATTTCTTTAAACATTTTTTGAGCGCATATGTTGTGAGCTAATTAAATTATTTTATTAATATAATTATATTTAAATTACTTTAAAACCCTTTAAAGCCTTTATGTAAATATTGCAAGCATTCCAACAATCGTTCAGGATTAAATACCACCAAATATCGAAACTTGTTCACCACCTCTAGTAACGAACCTATCGATAGAAATGCAGATATGCTATCAAAGATGGGCGGCAAATTGTGCAAACAAGTGAAAAAAAGCATTTAAGAATTACCATTAAATGCACACAAAGCTAAATGGAGACACGACTGGAGGTGCGTTTGCGGGAGCCCAATCCGCTGTTCACCCGCTGGCTGGAGCGTTGGCTGCGCGAGGCCGAGCGACGGCAACAGAGGTCTCAGCACAAGTTGCGGCAGGCTCTGGAGGCACTGAAGAGCTACCCGCTGCCGCTGTACTGTGGTCGCGACTGCGCCGTGCTACGGGGCTTCGGCGGCACCTTGTGCCAGCTTATTGACGAGGAGCTGCGTCAGCACCGAGGCGCCACAGCCGAGACACAGCCGGCGGCGGCAGCCACAGCCCAGTACGAGCAGCAGGTGCAACAGGTGGTCAAGGCGGTTCAGGAGAAGCAGCTGCAGAAGGCGAAGAAGTGCCCCGCCAAGAAGCCGACAAAGAAAGCCCAGCTGGAGCAGGCAGCGGCCGAGGAGCGAGAGCGTGTGGTGGAGATGCTGCCGGGCAGCTTCGAGGTGCTGCTCCTGGTGGACACCCAGGAGACGAGTGGCAAGAACAAGCGCGTGCTCGACCAGACACGCAGTTACCTGCAGTCCCTTGGCGCCGAGCACGAGGTGCGTCGCCTCACCGTCGGCGACTTCCTATGGATAGCCCGCGACGCGGACGGCAACGAGCTCGTCCTGCCCTACATCGTGGAGCGCAAGCGCATGGACGATCTGGCCTCGAGTATACGCGACGGTCGCTTCCACGAGCAGAAGCACCGACTGCGACAGTGCGGCCTGCCACACGTGATTTACCTGATCGAAGACTACGGCGACAACGAGCAGCTGGGCCTGCCGCTGGACTCGCTGCTACAGGCGCTGGCCAACGCGCGCATCCAGTCGGGCATCCAGGTGGTGCGAACGGAGAACCACTACCGCAGCATGTGCTACCTGGCGGGCATGGGCCGAGCGCTGCATCAACTCTTTCTCAGCAAGAGTCTGCACAGCGTGGATCGAGCCGCATTGGGCGTGCCCAGCGCCAGCTGTCTGACCGATCGCCGTATGGGTCTGCTCAAGTTCCGGGCCCTGTACGAGGACTCGGCCAAGAATGCACAGCTGACGGTGCGCGAAGTGTTTGTGCAGCAGCTGCTGCAGCTGCATTCGCTCTCCATGGACCGAGCGCTGGCCATTGTGGAGCGCTATCCCACGCCGCGACTGCTGCTGGACGCGTACGCGTCGTGCGGGGAGCAGGAGCAAGCCCGTCGCCTGCTGGCGGGCCTCACATGCGGTGCCCTGGAGCGGCCGCTGGGCGAGAAGCTGAGCCAGTGCCTGTACGACTTCTACGGGAGCGAGTTTAGGTAGGATTAGCAATTGATTTAATGGGACATATCTAAGGTTATATACACGAGTTTATACACATAAGTGATGGGGGGAATAGTACGAGAGTACGACTTGGACTAGCACCCAATAATGGCCAACAAAATAGACATTAAACACGTAAAATAAGAGTTCTCAGTTGATCTTCTGTCTCTCTAGATGTTGCGGAAGTGACGGATGGCCAGGTCCACGGGCAGATCAAAGTCGTACTTGGACAGGGCGTCGATGGAGCGCAATGAGTCGCGGAAGCCTGTGCGGGCCACATAGCTGGTGGACGAGTAGTAGCTGTCAATCAGCTCGTTGCAGCTGAGTATCAGATTAAGCCACTCCACCAGCAAATGGGAGCTGCAATGAGAGAAAAACGAAACATTTAGCAATGGAAATATGGAAACTCAAGCAATTAGAGGACGACTCACTTCAGTCCCGCGCAGACAAACGCCTTAAAGTGGGCATTGTGGCTGCGCTTGTAGGGCTTGTGCATGGCCAGGATCATGCCCACTGTGCTGAGCAGGCTCTGTTTGGCCGTCACATCCTGCGCGTCGACAATGTCCAGCTGGAAGCTGAGAGAGAGCTTCCGCGCCGGCGTATTGTTGTACTCCTCGCCGTGCTTCAGCTGATAGTACTCGAGGATCAGCTCCCAGGCGTGCATGCCACGGCCCAGGCCGAGGAACTGCGACTCCTGGGCAGACGGCGCTGCCATGCGCTGCGTGCCCGGATGCAGGCACCGCATGAAGGGCACCATCAGGCTGGAGGCCGCCGACTCGGCGGGTATCCGCAGGCCATGCTGGATGAGCTGCTGCAGCGTTCGGGCAAAGTTCTTGCGCACCACCGTCGTCAGTTCGCGCCCGATGGTGGCTATGGAGTCGCCACGCATATGCACGATGCGCCTGCCCAGGCTCAGGCCTTTGATATCCTTCTCCCACTCGTAGCGGTCGTAGCTAGCCTCCTCGTCCGAGTCCGAGGAGGTGGCTGCTGACGCAGCGGCCGCCGCATATGGTGCCAGCTCATGGCCAGCTGCCACAGCCCGCCTGCAGCGCGGTGGCAAGGTGATCAACGCTCCGTTCTGTGCATTGAGGCACGTGCCGGAAGATCCTGCCTCCTGCTGCTGCTGGCGCAGGGCACGCTTGATGTTGGCCAACTTCTCGCGATCGCAGCTGAGCGTGGCGGCCAGCGCGGCCACCTCCTGGATGTCCACCTCCAGCTGGGCACGCAGATCCCTGCAGGAAAAAGAACAGGAAGCCTTGAGATAGATTGAGAGCAGAATTGAGAATACCACAACCAGCACGTACCCCCAGTGATTGCCCTTGTGCGTCTTCTTCAGGGTGTTCTGCTGGAAATCCTCGCGTGGCTTGGCCAGGTGCGTGCTGGCGAACATCTGCATGAGGATGGAGGCCTTGTCCAGCAGTCCGTGCGCCTTGCTGTGCAGACTCTCGCCGGCCTGGGCCACGGGCAGGGCGGAGGAATGGGAATAAGCACGAGCGGGCGGAGCAGTCTCCGCCGGCACGGGCAACGTAGCCTGGGAGCGGGCCGTCTGCTTGGCCGCATAGCTGTTGTAGGCGCCCGAGAGAAGCTTCAGGCGGTCGCTGCCGCTGGCCGAGGAGCCTGAACCGCCGCCGGAGCCGGAGCCAGAGCCCGCCGCATCGCACTGCAGGAATGCAATGAAGCGCTCCAGGTCGGTGATCTGCGTCTTCAGCTGGGCCACCAGTTGCTCCTTCATCTTCAGCGGACCCACAAACTCGCCGATGGCATTGTCCACCTGGTGGCGCAGCTGGTCCGTGCTGAGCGATGGCAGATCCTGCTGCTCCACCTGCAGATTGAGCTTGGCCCGCAGCTCGTCCAGGATGAACTTTTGCTTCTCGAGGAGCACATGCTGTGGCAGTATGCCCGGCTCCCCGGCCTCGTATGCCAACTGCTCCAGTTCCGTCAGCTGCGACTTGAGTTGCTCAATCAGCCGGCCATCGGACTCTGTCTCCCGCTCCGTGTCCGACTCGCCGGAATCCTTCTGCTGGCCAACGCCCGCATCGGGTATGCCCTGAAAGGCAAAATCTTCCAGATCGCGCAGCAACTGGTCGCGCTCCTCCGGCGGTGCCTCAACAATCTGTCGCACCCGCAGCTGGACGTGGGCAAAGTGCGAGGTGAGCGCCAGCAGGGAGCTGGTGAGCAGCTCCTGCTCCTCCTCGATGCTGCGTAGGCGCGCCAGTTCGCTGGCACTCTCCGTCTCCATGCCGGGCCCGCTCTTCTCTAGGCCAAGGCTCAGGCCCAGCAGGTTGGGCTCCAGATCGCAGTCCACGCCGGAGCTGGCACTGTTGGCGTCATCGTAGTTGGCACCCAGCGGTGACCATCGCTCGCTCAGCATTTGCTCTGGCTCCGGATCGGGCTCATTGTCCGTCTCAGGCTCCGTTTCCTCCGCAAATGTTGCAGCTTTGCCGTGGCAGCTGTTCGTCTCAGGCACAGGCTGTTGGCCTTCAACGGGGGATGATTCCATTGATACCGTGGCCTCCTGCTGCTCCTGCTGCTCCCTCCGCTCTTGCTGCTCCCTCCGCTCTTGCTGCTCCGCATCGACCAACTGCAGTGCCTCCTCCATTTCCATATGGAATTGCAGGCCTCAACGCTGCGCTCTGTTTACTTCTCGTTCACTTTTCCGCGTTGTTTTCCGTTTTGCCCAAAAGAGAAAAAAATCAATCGGTGCCCAGTTCCGCTTTCTGTGCCAGCTGGCCCAGCGCCTGCTGCTTCCCACTCTGTTCGCTCTCTCTCTCTCTCTCTCTCTTCCTCTGTTGTACGCCTTCGCTTGTCTCGCTTCCTGTGTGTGTGCCACGGTGGCAGCGCGGATAAGGATTTGGGCCGTACGATGAGCGCCCAGCGACAGTTTCTGACGCACTGACTGCCTGCCACGGACAACTAGCCACGTCCATTGGCTAGCAGCTTTCATCCAGAGGGGTTGCTGATTGCTCGCTTTGCAAGCTTAAAGCTTCCCTCTGGGGTTGGTTGTTGCTTTCGTTAAAGGCTTTTACCTGGATCAGTGGGGGGTGCGTGGGTGCAATGAATCCCCAAAGAGCTTACCCTTAAGCAAAAGCACTGCGCAGTTAATGACGCCACCAAACGCTGCGTGGGTTTTTTTTTTTAGAGCTTTTCTGTGAATTTAACATCCCCTGCAGTGCAGCTTTTTTAATTTTTTATTAATTTATTTATAAATTCGATGTTTGGTTGGAATATTAGTTAGTTTCGGTTTCTGTGGATTAGTTAAAAACGCGTTTTTGATTCTCATTCTAAGTATGAGCGCTGAGACTTGTGGTTAAGGGCTTTCCCCAGGTGAAGTGTCGTAAAAATTCCACTTATTAAATTCCCAAATCTGCGAGGGAAAGAGCACCACAAACTTAGCTTAGTTGGTTATTTTTAGAGCTTTATTTAAGTTTTCAATCCCCCAAAGTGTAAGGTAGTCTTTTCGAGGCTGAGGTAGCTCAGCCTCTCCAGGGCCACCTTACAAAGAAATTTGTAAAGTGCCGGGACCCGAGATTGCAGTGTAGCCGCCCCTGTCTGCTCCGACGCGAGCGCCCCTGGTAGTACCTAGGCAGCACCCGTTTCGGAGACAGGCACGCGGCGTTTGAGAGCCCGCGGTCTGGCGCGGTAGTGACCTGCGACCAGCCCAGCGGAGCCTCCAACGGTGGGCGACCACCGGGGTTAGCGGAGGCGCCTTCTGGCAGTGTAGCCGCCCCTGTCTGCTCCGACGCGAGCGCCCCTGGTAGTACCTAGGCAGCACCCGTTTCGGAGACAGGCACGCGCCGTTTGAGAGCCCGCGGTCTGGCGCGGTAGTGACCTGCGACCAGCCCAGCGGAGCCTCCAACGGTGGGCGACCACACTTACCGTCTTGCACTTCGGGAGGGGGGAAAGGGTTAAATTTACACTGTTACACACGAGCACATTGTTTAGTTTTGTTTCTTTATTCTCATATCTTTATTTCATATTTTTTTTTGTCTTTTTCCCTGTCTTACCGCCGTATGTACTTACATTTCCTATGTCCCTACCTACGTCGCACCAAACTAAGTCGTACTAGAAAAAGGGTGAGGCCCACAGCCTCGCTTACCCGATCCTCACGAGCCTATCGGTCTTTTTGTCTCCTCACCTGGCGCTCGGTCCTTGAGCCTCTCGTGGGCACGTGGTCTTGAGCCTCTCGTGGGCAACGGTGGGGTTATGGCGCACTTTTTACTGTTTTTACTTTTGTCGCCGCAGCGATCTCGACTGGTCCTCCCGGTGTTCGAAACATTTCTCCCCGAGGCGAGCTCTGCGTGGCGATCGCGAGCCCTTAGCTGCGGTCCATTGTCCGGGCTGCGCTGCCGTCGCTGCCCACGCCCGTGGCTCTCGGGCTGCTGCCGGCGCCCTTGCTCTCTCGCTCTGCTTCTCTGCTGCTGGCTCTCGGCGTTGATCTCTGGCTCTGCTTCTGCCGCTCTGCTGCTGCTCTGTTGGCTTCGTTCTCTGGCTCTGGCTCTGCTTCTCTGCTCTGCTCTGCTGCTGGCCGCTCTCGGGCTTCTGGCTCACTTCGTCGTTCTCTTTGGCTCTGCTGCTGGCTCACGTCGTCGTTCTCTTTGGCTCTGCTGCTGTTGGCTCGCGTCGCCGTTCTCTTTGCTCTGCTCTGCTGTTGGCTACTGTGGGCCGCGAACTTAAATTATGACTTCAGAATTTCACCTTATAATATAACTTAGAAACTAATAATGGTTAAGTCTCCTTCACGGAAGCTTTCACACGCAATTGAAAGTCAAACTTGCACTTACTTGCACATGTAATGACTTTTGATCGCTCCAGCCCCTTCCTGGCTCCTTACACCCTCTGCGGTAGTTCTCTTGAGAGAATTACATTGGTTGATGAACAAGTTAAAGTTTTCTGAACACATTTCTACCATGGTAAATAAAGCCATGGGTGTGCTTGGGATTATAAAGAGGTGGTCAAAGGAATTTGATGACCCCTATATAACGAAGACTCTCTTCCGATTTAAGAATACGGCTCATGTGTATGGTGCCCTCAGTACAACATACATCAGGACCGTATTGAATCAGTACAGAACAACTTTTTATTATTTTCCCTACGGAGACTCAACTGGGATGCAACTGTGAGACTGCCATCCTACCGTAGTAGAATTCTTTTAATAAATCTTCCATCCTTAGTTAGTCGTAGAAAAATGCTTGGTGTAATTTTTATGCACAACTTGATCAAGGGATAAACTTTACGATTCCCATTAGACCCACTAGAAACTATATTCCTTTGTTCCTTTCACTGTGCAGATCGAATTATGCCTTGCACGAACCCTTTTTTTATACCCGGTACTCAAAGAGTAAATAGGGTATATTGTATTTGTGGGGAATAACGGTTGTATGTAACGCACAGAAGGAAACTTTTCCGACCATGTCATGCATGTGAGGCATGTCTGTCTGTCCGTCTGTCCGTCCGTCCGTCTTGTTTGTCGGCTAGTTCTCAGAGACTATAAGAGCTAGAGCCACCAAATTTTGGCTCCAGACTACTGTATGCTAACACTGAAACCAGTGTATTTCAAAATTTAGCCCCGCCCCCGCAAAAGGGCGAAAACCTTCCAAACTTACAATTTTGAAGATAAAATAAAACTAAAAACGCCACTCCGTAGGAAATCAGATTACCAAATTGGGATCCGATTGGATCATTATTATAGCCAAAATGAAGAAATGAATTGTGGCTAAACCCACCCTGTCCTGCAGTTTTTGTTGTTCCTTTTACATTCTCTCATTCACACTCTGCTTCTGCTTCACTCGGCCTCTGCCTCTGCCCTCCCCCTGCCGCTGCCTCTTCCGACTTTAAACCCACCCCGTCCTGCAGCTTATATTTGTTTTTTTTGTGTGCGGGAGCTGCCTCTGCCTCTGTCGCGAGTCTGCAGTATGTGGTGGCATGGGCCACTTGATGGTGCAGTCATTGCATATCAACGTCCAGACATACAATTTATAGGTTCTGTGTCAATAAACAGACTCTGAAATTCGTGAAAGAACATTATAAATGGGTGGATTCAATTGTATCGTGATAACAAAAGAATACAAAATCGTACGATATATGATCAATTCTTTAGTATATCCGAGCAGCAGAAGCAGAGTGAAAATCAGGCATGACAAACATATAAATTCATTGCTTAGAAAGTGAATCTTCAAATGTCATCTAGTGCACCCTCAACCCCCTCTTTTGGGCTTTCTCTAAGCTTTCACTTTGATTATTTCGTACCCTTCAAAGTTTCAACCTGTTCCTTGCGCTTGAAACTTGAATTGAAAGCTGTTCAAGTCTTAGGTTTCCTATGCCCTTCATGATCATGCATACTTTGAAAACTTTAGAGCTTCGGCTGAAGCTTTTAAATCTGCAGAGAGCTTTACACCACAGGTCCCAAAAAGCTGTTCCACGCACATGCAGAGAATATTTACCTGTATTTTATTTGTGACATTTATGACCTACATTACCAAACCAGCGGACTCAACGGCTCATTGACCGAAGGTACCACCCCTTGCCCCACACGGACAAAACGAGGGGAACACGCGTCCAACACGTTGCCTTCTACCAACCCCCCCGGGCAGACTGCTGTTGTTATTTTTGGAGTGTCTCTGATAAGGCTTCTCCACCGGAGATTACCCCAAAAAAGCAAACATGTTCCCCGTGGCTGTTGCTGTTTTTTCTTCTGTTGCTGCTGCTGCTGCTGACAGTGCATCTTATCAGTGCCGGCTGATGGATAGATAACGAGTCTGTCAAGTGTCTGACACAGCAAACCCATGACGGTCATTTCGGGGTCACCCCCAGACGCCAGAGCCCACACCCAGAGATGACTCCTCCCCACACAGTCGCTCGCTTATTATTTATTTATTGAACAAAAAAAAAATTGTGAAAGGGAAAAGGAAAAGGGAAAGTTAAAGGAAATGGAAATTAACGAGGCGTCAGATTGTGCTTGCCGCCGTCAATGGGGAAGAGGGCGCCGGTGGTGAAGCTGGCCTTGGAGCTGGCCAGGAAGGCCACCGCCTCGGCCACCTCGAACACATCGCCGACACGGCCCAAGGGATGGGACGCAATGGCACGCTGCAGCATGGCCTTGTATTCCTCATCGACGATGCCGATGCGCTCATGGATGTTGGTCACCACGAAACCGGGATTCACCGAGTTGACACGCACTCCCTGCGGTGCCATCTCCAGTGCCACAATGCGGGTGAACTGATCGAGGGCAGCCTTGGACACACCGTAGCTGAGGGCGCCGGCAAAGGGACGCAGACCGGCGCAGCTGCTCACATTGACCACGGCACCCTTGGTCTCCAGCAGATGTGGGAGCACGGCCTTTGTCAGCAGTACGACGCCGCGCAGGTTTGTGTTCAGCACCGAGTCGAACTCCTCGATGTCCAGATCGATGAGGCCACCCTTGCC